GTACAATTAACGATTTTCAAGTATCTGGTATCCAATAATCCTTCCTGTGATCAGTTCATTAGGTAGTCCATAAATTGGCTATATATTTCTTAAACTGCAGAACAATCTTATATGAGCAAAATGCTAAATATTTATATATATATTAATGAAGCTGTTTAGAGAAAATCTGAGTAGAATAGACTAAAAATACCAGGCCTCTCGGTTTTGTATGCCCATGTACCAGCTGCTGAGGAGAGCAAAGATACAGAGCCAGTTACCTGGTGCCATCCATTTTCTATGTACAGTTACTGTGTGTCTGTAGCTTCATGTGTGTGGCTGTGAGCAAGGGCTGTGCCAGCAACTGGAGCAGGGCTGAAGACTCAGGGGCTGATATATCCAGGTGCCACCAACTGGGCAGACTGGGATCCAGGGGCAGCTGCTGGACAGGCTGAGTGCCTGAGGTCAGCTGCTGGGAAGACCCACCTTGCACATACAGATTTATATATTTCCCACTAACATACCTGCATCCCGATCGGAGTGAGTGGGGGAACAGGATGAGGCTGTTGGTGCTGTTTATGTTTGCAGGTGAGCTGAGTGTGTCTCTTTATGCTGATTTGCGTGGCCAGCCATGCATGTATGTGTTGTAGATGGGTGTTTGTGTGTGTGCCTATCAGGAACACAGGCTCAGCCCTGATACTTTCTGGCCCTGAGGACATGGAGCTGTGGCAGCCTCGCCTCTGTTGGGTAACGCATTTGGCAACTCCCAACACCTCAAACTCTGTTATGCTCGTTCCTGGTCTTACATCTATGGATATTTCTGCAGAAACTGAATCCCTACCACTACTGAGAATAATTTAGCTTGTCACCTTTGCAACTGTCTTCAAGTCATTTCTGGCAACTACTACATGGCCTCCTCTGCACTGGGCTAAATAAGACCAGCTTCCTCAAGTTCTTCTGATGGTACACGTGCTCCTGGCCTCTGACCACCATGGTTGCCTTCTGCAGGACCTTCTCCAGCATCTCTGTGTCCTCTTGGACTGCAGGGTTTACAGGGGAAGAGGACAAATGGACACACTATTTCAGACATTGGCCTTACACATGCTGAACAGAGGCAAATGATAACTTTCGTCATACTTTCATATACACACGGACCACAGCCTGAAGCATAGCTTGGCCTGCTCATAACAAGAGCACGCTGCTGGCGCCTGCTGTAAACCCTAGCTCCATTCCAGCAGGCCTTCTGCTCACCTGGTCTGTCCTGATGCCTGTGGTTATTCTGTCCCAACCCCATGCAGAATTGTGTTTCTCCTTACTGGACTGCATGAGGTTTCTGCTTCCCAGTCCTCAGGTTTCTCAAGATCCCTCTGAATTGGGGCACTGCTATTCGTCTTTTCAGCCACTCCCTCAAAGTTTGAGTCGCCTACCAATTTGCTGGGAGGCACGCTGCATTTCACCATCCAGGTTGCTATTGAAGATACCGAACAACGTGGGAATGAGCCTTAAGGCTGAGGTGCCACACTCCTCACCACGCAGCAGCTGGATATTGCGCTGATCACTCAGCTCAATCCGCTGGCCTGGCCAACCAGCCACTTCCATGCACCTGACAGAACTCACTGCTCGAGCAAATAGTCAGCTTCCAAGCAGGAATGGTGGGGAAGGTGGCAACCTCCTAAGAGTCAGTTTGCCATCACTTGATGCTGATAGCTCAAGAGGCTTATATGAGCAGCATTAAAGCCTTTTTTGCTTCCTGGTCAACTCCAGCAATATGGAGATCAAGGTACTAGTTCTTTTCCAAGCTCACTGTTTGCAGTTCCAGGCATACATTAGCTGATTTGCACTTCCTTGTGGGGACTGTGCCACAGAATGATCTAGAGGCTCAAACAGAGGTACCTGCAGAGCCTTGAGGGGAAAATGGGAATATGTGAGGATATAAGGCTTAGAAACATAGAATCATTAAGGTTGGAAAAGACCTCCAAGACCATCTGGTCCAACCACCCACCTACCACCAATGTCACCCACTAAACCATGTCCCTCAGCACCATGTCCAACCTTTCCTTGAACATCCCCAGGGATGGTGATTTCACCACCTCCCTAGGCAATCAGTTACAGTGCCTGACGGCTCTTTCTGAGAATGACTACTGTAGGATGGTGCTGAAATGCTGTATGTGGCAGAGACAATTGTCTCTGGCTTTCATCATCTGGACTGAAAACACAGTTCCACCTAACAGCCCTCCCTTGTATCTCCTCCAAGCCACCTAAGGAAAAGGACTCCACAGACCTGAAGTGTTAACACACTTTATTAAACTTCCTTGACACCATATTCATTGCAAAATTAAGAACAAAGTTTAACATCCTTTGTTGCTCTACACATTATGAAATAAAGAAATTAATAACTGACAAAGACCTCTGCTGATGACTTTTGGAGGCTTGTTCTGAGGTGCATTCTTGTCTGTTTGTGGTCCACAGCTGGGAGAAATGTAACTTTGAACTAGAGAAGGGGACTGTCCTTGTAGTTGCTACTGTGACTTGCACTTTCTGCTCTAAGAACTGCTTACTGGGAAAGGGCAGCTGTAGTGCTATAGGCACCCAGTAAACCCACATCTGTGTAGTGCCACAATAAGAATTTAAGTGTTTGGATTTCAAAGTTAAATAACGCAGCTCATGTTTCTAGTTAGCTTAGCACACCACATAACAGAAGACTACATTACTTAATTAAAAAATAAAACAGAGTTGGTTATCTGCAGCATTACTTGGAAATTTTCATTTTATCTGTAAAAGGAATTGGAGCATTCAAGAACATTAGCAGGAGTGATGTTACGATATGAGGACTGACATTTACCTATGCAGTATTGTCAGCTTTAAGAAATACAAGCAATGTGCATGCTTGGTGATCTCTGAGATTTAGCTCCAGTAGCAGATGGGATTACATTTGCAGAGGACTCGCATACATTGTCTACACTGAACTGAAATTGAAAGCTACTGTGATGGCAATTCATCTAGCATAAAGAATTAGGAAACAAAGTATAATTGCTTGACTTTTGCTAGTAACCCTTTTAAAAGTAGTAATAACATAAATCAGTTGGAATTTGAAAAGTCTACCTTGCAAAATATTGTGTAACAGTTTCAGTTTAAGAAAACCACTTAAAGCAATCGACAAAAGACCTCTGCCTACAAGCGCAATGCAATTATTTTATTTCACAATTAAAAAAAAAATTTGCATAAACTTGTCTCAGCAGGAGTAAGTAACTATGAGAAAAAAGTGATAGCAATAGGAATAGTGTTCTATAAAAAGCTTATATATTGGAGTAAGTTATGGCATAACTGAAGAGACTGAAGGGCATAAAGAAAAAAAGTTACTTCTGAAGGGGATTTTAAAGACTACAATAAATCAAAGTGAAGAGTTACAGGGATAAACATACAAAGGAAAGAAATCGGAGGAGGAAATTTCCACTAACAATAGCTATGTGGTATCTAATGAGGAGACCTGATCTCAGTGAGAGAAAGAAAGAAGTGGGAGTTGTAAGAACATATCAGTTTAAAGGAAAAGTAAGGTTCTATTCAAATCAAATTTTATTAGAATATGGACAGATCATTAAAAATATCAAGAAAGTAAACTTACAAAACAAGTTTTATATGTGGATTATTTTAACTCACTATCTTAGTGGAATTACCTGGCTAAAGATAGAAAGCTCAGTTTTACAAGCAGGTTATTTCCCTCTGAGATGTGGGTGAACTACTGGGGTACTGCACCCCATACTGATCACTGCAACTGAACAAATGCAACTCCTCAGAGCTGTGTTGGAGGTCTTCTACCCCGCCAAGTCAATAGTATCCCTTCCCAGAAACACCTCAAGAGAGATTTAAGTGCATCTTCTTGGAAGCATTATTGAGAATGTAACAGAACAAGAAAGTTGTGCTCAGTTTAACAAGGCAGCCTCTGTTAAGAAGGGCTGCTGCCATACTGCTCCATGACACTCTCTTCCTTGCCATTTTAAGCCAGTGATCTAAAAATGATGTCCATAATGTTACAGGAATACTTTTTAGGAACACTTAGTGAATATTTAACTATTATGGCAGAAAAACCTTACCTAGTTTATCTACATCCAGAGACATTTCAAGGAGACTTTTGAGTATCTGTAGAAGATGACCTACATGTAGGCATTTATGTAATCAAACGTTACCTCAATTGATGAGCTAGATCATCACATGCTGAATCAGTCATTATACACAACAAACCAAGGTGTTGGCTTGCAATGCCAACATTAAATTAAACAAGAGATCTACAAGACTTTTTCAGAAGCTCAACAAGATCAAGTAGAAGTTGAGCCACTGTTAGGTGCAAACCTTGTTATAGGCTCATCCCTTCCATTATCTTCCAACAGAAATTTCCATAATTGCTTGCTCATGCATGTGCACAGAAGTGCTATTGTTGGTCCAAAGAGTTCACTCTGAACTAGCAGAGGAAGAATCTGAAAATGTAGCTTCTGCTTCTGTTATTCTTTAATCTATGTATATGCAAGCACAGAACAACTCAGTTACTTTGTTTTACATACAAATGTATCACTAGACAACCTATCCATAACTTCTATTTTATTTTTTTGAGTGCATCTATTCAAGGTCACATATGTACCTAGGATATTTTAATATAGCCTTACTACCACAGTCCTCAAGACCTCACTTGGGATAATGAAAGACCTGGTACAAAAGACCCTTAGCCAATCTCCACAAGTTATAGCAATGACTGCTAACAGGAGAAAATATTCAAGCAAAACACCACAAACTGCATTTTATTAGTAGGGGATCCTTGTGAAAGATGCAGGTGATCTGAACAGACGTATCTGTTAGAAATTGCTATAGCTATTACCACCCAATAGAGAGTGTACACATCTCCTTCTGGAAAGGGAAGAACATAATTCATGTTAACACTACGTACTTTCAAGAAAGACTTAGATAAATTCTGTCAATGCTCCTAAAAGGGGAGGAGAGTACAAGTGAAGTATTAAAAATGTAAGGGAATACTGTTTAAGTAAGAGACATTTCTAGAACTGAGCAAATTGATTATATGGTTTTCACCACCAATGCTGTTCACCTTGGTATACTGTATGATATATTAGAATGAACTGCCTTAAATAAAATTCCGTAATGTGATTAAATAAAATTCTGTAATTGTGACAGGTTCCAGCAGTATAATTAGAATATAAAATATAAACAAAAAAACCAAAGCCTTCTATATTTTTTAATATTGCAGTTAACTAGAATTTCCAAATACATTGACATTTACATCCCATACAACTTAGTGTTTCCTTCTCTGTAAGAAGTAAATAAAAAAACACCAATAAACCCTTAGAGCACCATGTTTCAGACCTTCATTCCCCTTTATATAAACCATAAATTAACAGTTAATTTAAGCCAGTTAAATTTTTGTCGAGATAAACACTTAACAGTATAGAACCAGAACAAAACTGAGACATCGATAAAAGTTTTCTGTAAACAATAATAAAGACTATAATATATAATAAATGGTTGTACCTTTAGTTGTGTTTTTTTAAACTAACCCCAAAACATAAATATTAGTTCACTGTAAACCATGCAAGTCTTTAAACCCCTAGATGAGATGCTGATACGTTTTGCTCTTTTAAAACAGATATTGATAACTGGATGGCTTAGATATCAGTATTTAAGAACTACCATGCTGCATGAAGGGCTTAGAAACACCTGGAAATTAAAACAGTTCCTAAAATTATCTTCAGACTTAGTGATTCTCTTCAGCTTTAAGTGATCCTATTGAACTGTTATTCTCTAGCTCCACTGAGGGTAAGTCATCCTTTCCCTGAGAGGCTTCATGACCAACTTTCATCACAACACATAGGATCAAATGTTGCATTAAAGCATGATAACAAAAAAATAAATAAAAAGGAAAGCCTCAAGTTTCCTGTAAAACACCAAGAAAAGACATAAAAGACATAAACATCAAATAAAAGATGAAACAATTTGAGAACCAAGCAATGTGCCAACTGACACTAACTTCAAAGGAGTGGGTATTCCTAGACTCTCCATGAGCTAGACTTCCTGGATATCAGCTGAGGCAGTAACTGGTCATCGCTGTGAGGAGCAACTGGCAGTCCGATGGCTTAGCTGTAGGATAAGTTATCATCATGGTATGAGTGACAGCTTCTCTCCCCTCCATCCTTTGACTATTTCAGTCAGTAATGATAAAACGTGTTACATTTTTCATCACTGAGTAAATCCTTGATGTTAGGCAAGACTTCAGTGCACTAAGTACTGTATAACAGTTACAAGAAGGAAAGCAGGAAGACACCACTGTTAAGAAAAATCTTGGGTGGAAGAGTCCTTTTTCACTGCCCATTTCCTGAATGTACTTTTTAAAAGAAAATATTTAAGATTAGAAAAGTAAAAGTTCCACCCTCATATTACATGGATTACTACAGCCATGTAGGTCATAGCAAAGAAAGAATTTTGAACACTGGATGGACAAAGCTTAACACAATACCATACTGGAACACTCAACATCTAATAAAGTTCTATTATCAATTTGTTTTTGATTTCCATAGATTTCCAAAATACATTTGCAGCAGTTCGTTTTTTTCCTTGAGGGTTTCTGCAGAAAACCTGACTTCTCCGCAATTCTAAAAAACTCTTTAATATCACAAATATTCAAAGGACATAGATGTGTCCAAAACTCAGAAGTCTGTATACTTGAGATCCTATCATGTCTTTGAAATCCCTCTGGGTTCCTTCAGGAAAAAAAAAATAGCAGTGCGAGAACTAACATTTATGAAACAAGAAAGAAGCACTAAAAGATTCCAAAATTTGAATATAAGAATCAACTAGACCATCAACAGGAAAAGACAGACTTTAAAACTGCATAGTAAGAAAATTCTGTAAAAACCTTTAGAAAATATTACAAAGAATTGTTAACAGTGCTAGACTGTAGTGAGTACCCTTAATAAAAAAATATCCTCTAAAAATAGTGCTGAATGCAAAAAACACATGTTGAGTATTATTTGAGATAGTTATGAAGTTAGAGGTAGATGACTAAATCAGTTATTTGGGAGAATTACCACTACAGCTATTGTTGTAAACAGTATTACATTTTACCTATATAGCATTCATATCTGTGCAAGAATGCAGAGAGAAGGAACGTTTCTTGCCTAACAGCAACTATATTCATTCAATGTCTTTGCTGTGCATCAGTTCTCCTGGAAATGGGGGCAAGGGGAAAAAAATTAGGAAGGCAAGACAAATCAACCCCATTTGTGTATGCAGGCAACTAAAAGGCCAAACGCACCAGCCAAATTATACACTAAGGGTGACTGGGCTCATAGCACAATCCTCAGGACATGGCTAGATCAGATGAGTAATACCCAAACACTCTACAGGCTGAAAATAAAACATCAGAAACCTTGTACAGTAGTTTCCACAATGTGAAATCAGTCACCTTGCCTTACGTATTCACAACAGTGCTGTGTTGTTGCAAAAGCACCTTTGTTCCTGTTCACCATGTCCACCAGATTTGGGGGTTTCATTACGAAGAAAAGCAGTAACTACTAGCAGCACAAGGCTTTGTCACTAGCGAACAGAGTATGTTAACTGGCTAACACTTGTGAAGTGTTAGGTGTTCCAAAAAGTAACCATTTCAAAAACAGCGTTACCACCAGAACCTGATGGTATTCAAAGCATCTGTTAGTACACAAATGGAATCAGAATTTTTCTATCCTTTGGGTAGTCTTCGAATTTCTCAAGGTACCACCTGAAAAACAAAGGTACAAATGCAATGAGTACTGCATCTTTAAAATATTTTCAAGGAAGTTCATCAACTATATAAAGCTTTCAATTTAATCCATTTTTTTTTTTTTGGATACAAACTAGAAAAGTGTCTTTAGAATCTACTCTGGATAGAAAATTGCTATTTACCCCACTCATTCTAAGAAAATCTAACCTGCCAACTACAACAAAACAAAGCTAGTCATTGCTAGCAACGGGAAATCAAGCTAGTAGGTGCAATGAGAGCAGCCAGGGAAGGAACGGACTTCTCTTGTAAAATGTGTATTGTAATGCATCCTATTTATATTTTAGAAGTAGAGGAAAAAATAATATCCAACAGGAATCCTGCAACAGGATTTTTTTCTTCAGTGGTGCTACAACCTCCATCCTTGGAGGCACTCTGAACTCAGCTGGATGAAGGACTTGGCAGAAGTTGTATAGCTTTGGTGTTAGCCCTGGCAGAAGCAGGTCGGTCTAGGTAACTGGACTAGACAACCTTCAGCTGCCCCTCCTAACCCAAAGTACATTATGGCTCACTCAGCAGTGGCAGGTGGTAGAACAGGGAGAAATAGTCACAGATGACCTGGAAGGTTCAGGTTGGACAGTAAGAAAAATCTTGTTCACTGGGATGGTAATACAGAACTAGAACACCCAAGGAGGTACAGAAAGATATTTATTTCTGGAAGTTTTCAAGACTCTGCTAGGCAAAGCCATAGCTGATGTGACACTTAGCAATGGCATTCTTCCAGTCTACCTCCTCCTATTTATTTCCTCTTATGCCACCAAGTTCCACAAAAACAGTCAAAGCAGGAAGCCAAAAATAACTAAGATTAGAGTGTTCAGGTTCTTTTAAGTGTGCTATTTCTGAAAAAGAATTTTTTCAAGAAGTTTTCTCAAACCGATTCTTCTATTAACAGGAAAGCCAAAATGTGAATACAGTACATTATCAGTCTGATAGTTTTACAGAGCAGAGCCTTTATATACAAAAATAAGCAATCAACTCTATGGATATTTAATAGACTTGATTTTGATGGTCCTGCCTGTAGCAGAAACCTTTGGTTATTTTCAGTAATGTAATACTATAGTAAGAAGTTTGAGCTGGAAAATAAACTATAATGTATGATCAAGCAAAGGTAGTTTTCCCAAATGTATCCAATCTTTAGAGGTCCAGGATGAATTCTGGTCATGTAATGAATAGCCATTATTTTGACTACCTCATTGTACATTGTGTGCACTTATATTCCTTATGCTTAACACTATTTTGCTGCAATCTTATGTTTAGTACTGCTTGAAGCATTATCTCATTCTTCATTGCAGTTAACAGCTTTTCATTAGACTTGTTCTGCAACATCCCTATGGGATGAGGTATAATTTATACACTGGAAATGAAGTGTGGCACAGACAATAGAAATAAGACAAACACTTACTGATGGTGTTGCTTTGCCCTAGAGCCCAAGATAAAAAGTGTACACAATGCAAATGCAAGGCTTTCGATGGTGCAGCAGGCAAGGGCAAACCCAAACCATTCCAGGATCTCTCCAAAAAAGTTGGCTCCACTGACATACTCAAACATTCCTCCTAAAAGCAGGACAGGTTTATTTGAAAAGCACCTTAATGAAGGACATATTCAATATAAGTCTAAGACATCCTATATCACTAATATCTCTATATTTTTAAAGGCAGTAGAAACTGTTTTCCAGTTCAAGCTGTACCATGAAGGATTACTTTAGACATCCTTCTAAAACAGACCTTCTCCAGTTACACTTTTCTTCTTTGAATCATGGAAAAAAATTTGGTACCAGAAGTGATTCCATACCTCTGTAAATAACTACTTCAAGCTGTATATGACTATGTACAAAACCTTTTTTTTAAATATGCAAAAAATACAAAACACAATACCATTTACATGTAAAATAGTCCCATAATATACACCTAGGGTTAGTTAGCATACAATGCCTCATTTCTCCAGTTTAAGTATCCCAAATTATATTAATCAAAGAATATTTTTCTACATTTAAATTGCAAATTTATGCTCTAGCTTAAGATGCATTGCCCTTTTGTTCCTGTGCCCTGCCAGGTCTGGAGAAAGATAACCTTAACTACTTCAATCCTGACCCTTATCAATAGAAGTAACTGGCAGTTTGTATTAAACATATTTTACAGCTAATTATGCATAAACAGTCAGTACTCACCTGCTGGGAGTTATTTTTAAAAATAAGAACTTTCACCTTAATTCCAAAGTTAGAGTACAAATTGATAACATAAGTGCATGTCCTAGTGGGACCAAACAAGCAAATATTTGCCAAGCTTAATAAAGGACACGTTTTGACCTTGTTTTTAATTACTCTGTTTTTGTGACAAAATGGCAGAATTCTAGCACTTGAATTGGATAAGTAATATCAAAAAGACTGACTCCTCCTGATTATGCAGCAAAACTAATCTTATTTCCTTCTAAACATCTGAACATCTCACACTATCTCTGTATTCATCTTAACAGATGTTAATTCAACTGCCCATGTAAAGATACAAAGTTATGTTCTTGGTGAAAAATATGAACGCTACAATCACTTCCTTAAATAGTCATTTATGATATGACAGGAAACTTGTAATAGCAATTTGTCTATCTCCAGTAAAATATATCAAGCCTTGGAAGGTCTCTGTAACACCGACTTGCAAAGTAATTTAGGTTGGAAGGGTCTTGAGATCATCTAGTCCAACCTCACTCTGTTCAAAGCAGGTTCAGCTAGAGAAGGATGTCCAAAATAGCATCCAGTCACATTTTCAGCATCTCCAAAGGTGGAGACTCCACAGCTTCTCTGGGCAACCTATTCTAGTCTTTGGCCAACCTCATGGTAAAAGAGTTGTGTTCACATGGAATTTCATGTGTTTTAATTTGTGTTCATCGCCTTCTGGCCTGTCACTGTGGACCACTATGAACCTGGCTCCCTCATCTTCATTGCCTCCCATCTGGTACTTATTTACATTTATGGGATCCCCATGAGCCTTCTCTTCTCTAGGCTGATCAATCCCAGCTCTCTCAGCTTCTCCTCACAAAACATGCTTCTTTTGCTAAATAGATTTTTGTAACATTTTACTCACCTCTTGGTATCTTGTAACCAGTTTCCCCTGGTTTTCTCAGATTTCTAAGAATATGATCAGAATGAATATTGATTGCCATGCCAACCAGCCACCCTATAAAACCTGAAGAGAAATATTTAAAATACTTATCTTTAATACAGTGAGTCAAAGCACTCTATCAGGAAAAAAAAAAGTCATATTTCAAACATTAGCCATATTGTCTCAAAGCAGTAATAATGTAAGCAAGATAAACAATTCTAGTGACATTATGCACAATCCCAATCCCACAATGAGCTCTTCAGCCAGTAAAGCTCACAGTAATCAACAGGTCTCTGGACAGGAATAGTACTTTTAAGTATAAAGTTTTATTCTCATGTTGCCAAAGGTATGCGCATATATTTAAATGTATGTGCGTACAAATATATACCATGTCATATGTATAACCCCTAACTTCCATAAAGAAAATCAAACACCATTTTAAACAACACTGAAGGAATCAGACATTTTCATTCCTATCACCTTAGTCTTTTATTTTTTCTTTTAAGTGACAGTATGCCAGAGTTTCCACAGCACACTATGTAATAAAAGGAATAAAAAAACCACTAGACTACCAAAGACAGCATAATCATGTTCCTGGAAGTTAGGTTTAGAGTCTTCCTAAACCTAGTCTTGTCGAGCACTATAAATACTGAGCTTGCAATTATTCAACAAGTATGATGCAAAGAGAGAAAGAGCTTGGACTTTCTTTAGGGAAAAACTCCTGCCATACTGTCTCAAGCTCAGTCCAAAGTCATAGAAGATTCCTTTCTGTGACCTAAACGAGAACTGTATTTTAAGGACACCTGTAACAGAGAATGAATTCTTGTGAAGTTGAAATAAAAAGCTGAGAGAAATAAACAAAAGGACTTAATACTCTCTACAGGTTTGATAGTTCTACAGATCTATCAACCTGGCAGATAGATGAATTGATAGATGAACCTGAATGCAATTCATATTCAGTGATCCACAGAGCAGAGGTAACTAATTTCACAGTCAGTTGTTGCTTTAGTTGTAATCCAGCGTCTACTGTGGACAAAGCATGCTTAAGGTTGACACTCAACACTTCACTAGAACACTGGTTTTCTGTTCATCTTTGACTTCCTTTGAATACGTTTGGTGATATTAATAAAGGGAGAAGATAGTGGTACACATCAAATACTATTATTCTATACAAGGTTATCTTAAACAGCCCCAAGTCATTTGGGAGTTTATCCATCTGAATAGAACTTAGCTAACTTAGCTGTGAAGACTTAGAGGTGAGTAGGCTGTCATGAGGTCTCAAACCCTAAAAGCACTGCAAGCTAGCACAATGAAAGGGAGAACTGGAGAAAGCATGACTAGAGCTCTCATAGGCAGCCTGTGGGGTGTTCTTCATTAGTCTGCTTGCTTTGCAACCTGAGTTTTATCACATGTTGTGCTGCATTTGAAGCAACACTTTTTGCTTTCCTTTTAAAACAGATTAGTTCACTGCTCTGAACGAAACCAATGCCCAGTCTGTAGAAACCATGAGGGAACTGCATTAAAGCTGTATCAGTGCTCCAGATCAATTGCTGGTGTAGATATAAGGCATTCATTTCCCAGAATTAACTCCTAAGCATCTGAAAACAGACATCACATCAGTATCCTAAGGATTCACAGATAGGAATCTGGAGAAGTGAAGCTAATTAGCCATAGTGGTGGGAGGTCTCAAAGGAACAATGCGTTCTCTATCTTCGCCGCAAATTTCTCTTCAACTTTCAGCTGAACCTTGTTTGTCTGCCATTTGTTGACACTCCCATTTTTGTTCCTTGTGTAACTTCATGTAGATTAAAACAACTTATTAACATAATAATATGTCAGATGTGCTTTCCTGCTGTTCTCCAATCTTATAGTTTTTTGTCATTTTAGCTACAGCCTTAAAGACACTGCCACACGTTTCTGAAAAATTAGAGCATAGCCCAATTGCTCAGGGAGCATCTGGCATACAATAAAGCACTTCTGCATTTGAGTGACCAAAAACTACAAGCATGAACTGCAGATATTCAAACAGTTCTATCTTGTGTTCGTCCCAAATAACTATTATAAATAGCCACTAAATTCCAAGTTACAGACGTACGTACGTATGTATGTATACCCTTTTAGCAGGAATAAAAGAAAAAAAGTCTTAGGTTTGGCTCTCTCAGACCCATTACCAACCCATCTCAAGACTTATTACAAAAAAAATCTCAAAAAAAAAAAAAAAAACAGGGAGTGATGGTACTACAGTAGATGCTATGCATACCAAGAATCTCCACTTCCTTACTTTTCAGGGTAACTTAAATAATAAGTTGTCCTTGTAGTCATGAAACCAACACCTCTTACAACTAGCAGTACAGGAAATATAAAAATTAATTCCACATTGGTATTACTTGCAAAACAAAGAGTTAAATTTGTACTCAGAAGTAATCATAACTAAAGGCAGATGAACCTAAACATTATCATTTATACATTTGCACTTTTCAGAAATCCTTAAAATAGAGTATTCAAAAACAAACAAACAAACAAACCAGGAAACCTGAACATGACCTATTACCTTTTTCCCCCCTAACATTTCAGTAAGGAGGCATTAACTTATGCCTCATGACTCATGTTTTGTTTACAGCACAGTTTTGAGATAATCTTTTGATTAAGGTACTAAACCAGGACACAGGAAACTGAAGATTTTACGTTGCATCAGTCTAACAGTTTTGATCAACTGTTCTTCTGAATGCTTTTTTTTTTGGAATCATGTTTAACCAAGAGACTAGAACTTCAAAAGTACCACATGAGTTTCACATGTGCCCATACGACTACCTACCTCCCCAGTGAAGATATTCCCTTGTACCTCATCTTCTCCATTTTTGGAGCACAAATACTACTTCCTCTTAATCTTTGCAAGATAATCTATTGAGACCTAAATTTATTCAATCTCAGTTGTTACAGCACAGTGGCCCTCTACTGTCATCTGCCATAATACTGTGATGAAAATAAAGCTCTTATTCTTGCTGTACAAGGTCTGAGAAATCCTGTGAGAAACATCATCTTGCTTTGAGCTCCAGAAAACCAGTAAGAAGTTGTACTGGGTCAGATTAAGAATCCACACAATCCAGTGTTCCATCTTTCCCTGACAAGGACAAAATATTCTGCCTTATCTTCAGATCATAGAGAAACTTCAGTAAATACTTCCTTAGGAAAAAAAAAAAAAGGTATTACATTTGACAGTAGGCAAAAGCAGGTGCCCAGCAATTAAGAAGTAAGGCAAAGAACGCAATCAGCAAACACCTTATCTTTTTAATTATACGCCTGGCTTCAAAGGTAAGTGTAATCTCACCTCCTGATAGGACTGAATGATCAACCTTCCAACCCCACCCTTGTGGCACAGTTTTGTTCTTTGCCAAAGCCCACTCACTGCAGTGGGGGGAAATAGGTATGGTTATAAAAAAAATAGCCTAACATCAAGGACTTTTGATGTTAAAAGTGGCATCCTGTGAGGACAAAATTCTGCTCCTAATGCTCTCATGCAGTGGCTTAACTCACCTGCAATGAAACAGGGATCTTTTAGCCAGCCTGAGGGGTATTCCGCATAGTTGCTTAAGCTTCGTCCTTGCAAGTACCCATTGTAAACGCAGAAGAGGAGCGCCAGCAGGAAGGTGAAAAACGGCGTTGGCTTTCCTTGCCGGATCAGGAAGGGAAATATGAGCGCCCTGTAACGAACCGGGAGAGAAGCATTGCTGCATCCAGGGCAATTACTGTGACCGGGGTGTTAAAGCCAAGCGGGGCTGAGCCCCGCCCGGCTCTGCGCGCCCCGTACCTGTGCAGGTAGTGCAGCACGAAGCCGCCCAGCAGCAGGCGGTTGGGCCAGCGGCCGGCGGCGGCCCCGCAGGCGGCCAGGGCGAGGGGGACGAGCAGCGAGGGCAGCTCCTGCAGCGCCCACGCGGGCCGGGCGGGCAGCGGGCAGCCGAAGCGCGGCGACGAGTAGCGGCCGTAGGGCATGGGCACGAAGCGCAGCAGCAGCGCGGAGCCGGCGCCCAGCGCCACCAGCCCGTAGGCCAGCAGCTCCAGCAGCCGCCGCTCCTCGCCGCCCGACACCCGCCGCCAGAACGCGCACGGGCCCTCGCCTGCCCGCCGCCGCTGCCATGCCGGGGGGAGCCGAGCGCAGGCCGAAGGGAGCCGAAGGGAGCCGAAGTGCGGAGGGAGGGAGGGAGCCGCGCGGCCCCATTCATCCCCACGCACCAATGAGCGCCGAGGGGCGGGGCGGTGGTGGCAGCGTGTGGAGGTGCGCATGCGCAGAGCGTGCCGGCGCCCGCTCCGCCATCACGGTGCTGGGCAGGCTCCTGGCAGCCATGGGCCGCAGGGCCCGCGAGCGGCGGCGGCCGCAGCAGCAGCGGGGCGGGGAGCAGGGCGGCGGTGGCGGGGGGGAGCAGGGCTGGTCCGGCGGCTACCCCGAGATCGTGAAGGAGAACGCGCTGTTCGAGCGCTACTACCGCGGGCAGGCCGTGGTGCCCGCCGCCGAGTGGGACGCCTTCATGGCGGCGCTGCGCGAGCCGCTGCCCGCCACGCTGCGCATCACCGGCTACAAGAGGTGAGGGGACGGGGGACACGGGGGCGCGGGGACACCGCGGGGACATCAGCGGGGCTCAGCCTCGCCTCTCGCCCCGCAGCCACGCCAGGGAGATCCGGCACTGCCTCAAGGAGCGCTTCTTCGCCGAGCTGCGCGGCCTCCGCGTCGACGGGCAGGAGGTGGAGATGCCGCAGCCGCTGAGCTGGTGAGCCCGCCCCCCCTCCTCTCAGCCCCTATCCTCAAATCCTGCCTCCATCCCCTCGCCTTCCCCTCTCTCACCTCTCCCCGCTGCGCCACAGGTACCCGGAGGAGCTGGCCTGGCACACCAACCTGAGCAGGAAGATCCTGCGCAAGTCGCCGCAGCTGGAGAAGTTCCACCAGTTCCTGGTCAGCGAGACCGAGTGTGTAAGTGCCCCGTCAGGACCTGCTGCTGCTCCCCAGCCCCACGTGGAGCTGTGTTTCAGGGCGGCGGGACAGGTTGAGGCAGTGCCTTTCCTCCCAGAAATCGCCTGACTCAGAAAAAATCTGGGTTTTATATTTCATTGATTCATCCACTAACTCCAGCAAATAATTATATCGCTCCACATCACGTTGATTCATCCCATAACTCCAGCACATAACTACGCTTTTAAATATTTTTACTAACATCATCACAATTTTTTGTTTGAGAACGTGAAAACGAGTGCTTCCGGAGTCATTACTTGCTGTTAAAAAACAGATGCTAGAGCAGGGTAAAAACCATGTGTAAACACGCCAAAACGTACCTTTAATAGCGGATGTTTCACACTTTCACTTGTTTGAAGCCAGCGTCTATTTTCTTTTGAACAGAAATCACAACTGTAGAATTAATAGAAATGGACTATATCCAAAATTCGGCTTAGAAAATACTGATCGTTATATGGTAACATAATTTAATCCTAAGTTTGAAGCTGTGTTTTTGACTGCTTTGTTATTTTAATTTAAGGAAGGTGTTTTGTTCTTTTTAGTTTATAGTTTATTGTAAAATAAACGTTTTGTCTTGTCAAATGTTTTTTTTCTTTAAGGGAAATATCAGTCGTCAAGAGGCTGTTAGTATGATCCCACCTCTGCTGCTTAATGTCAATCCTCATCATAAGGTAACTAAAATACAATGCACACTAGGGTTTTTTCATATAAGACAGATTGCTTAAACTAAGCCTACAATGACGGTATCAGTGCTGATGTTCTATGTTGGCGTGTTTTATGCTTTCTGCATGTAGACCACACCAGTCAACTAGTGTTCAGTTCATAAATAGAGAGACAGCTGCTTTTTCAGCTATGAGCAATACTAAGGAAAAAAGACTTTGCTTTAATGTAGTTGCGTGATCTTAATTTTGGTGTGTAAATGTAACTAGCTGTATCCAGGTTAGGTATCCTATCTGTGTTACAACCCTCTTTTAAAGTAAGGTAACTAAATGTTTAAACTTCCTATTATCCGTCATGCTGGGAACAGACATGCTTTTCCAGATCCCAATTGTCATGTTCTCTACCAGCTGATTTTCAGTCCTTTATACATTTTGAAGAAGCCTTTATACCTTTTGAAAAAGTTGCAAACTTCTGATCCATATATCTGTTAGGCAAAGTAACTTCGGTGAGCTGAAACCTGCTGTTGATGGTGGCTGAAAATTACAGGTTGCTAACTTAAATTTGAGGTGGCTAAGGAACACACAAGACACTTTCCAATGGCAGATTGTAGGGATGGAGGTATCTGGTAGCAGACTTCCTGTTCTAAACTTGGCCGTGTTTGCATGCACTGTACTTCAGGTCAGAATGAATGTCAGTCAGGTGGCCTTACTCTTTTAATCTGTGTCAGGGAGCTAGTTAAAAGTGCCCTGTGATCTTAAGCAGCCATGCTGTGCACTTCTTTATTTAAAATTTTTAAATCTCCCTCTTCCTTCACTGAAAGGATTTAGTGATAGGGATTGTCCTAATGAGTCACAGGTACATTTTGAGTTTCGCGTGGGGTTGAACAGGTAGTAAATGTGTTTGACTTCATGTAAAACACAAATTGAATATTTTTGCACGTGCTTCTGTATTTGTATTTTGTATTTGTATTTTTTCAGCTGGTTTAGATGTTCCCTACAAGCCAAAGTTCTTCTCATGTTGTAGACCCTTAGAAATAAAACTGTTTTCTTTGATGTGTTTAAAGAAGAGAACTGTACTTTGTAGTTTCTTGCAGATCAGTGTTCTGAGTAATCATAATCATTTTGTGTTTATATGCAAAAACATATATTTAACCAAGAATACATAGCACGTTTTTCAAGTATGTAGAAGGCAGGGCTTGTTCTTTTTAACCTTTTTGTCTTTTTAGATTTTAGATATGTGTGCTGCACCTGGATCTAAGACTGCACAGCTCATTGAAATGTTGCATGCAGACATGAATGATCCTTTTCCCAGTAAGTTTGGAAAAACGAGCAAAAAAAAAAAACGGTGACTTTAAATTTCCCCCTTTTTATGTAATAGATTAATATCACAGATGGCAACTGCATTTAACTATGTACTGAATTCCATCATTGGTTGAATTATATGAGATGGAAAATACCTCTGCCTTTTCCTTGAAATGTTGTGGGCTTCCTTGCCTTGAAGAAGAGAGATGGATTATTTATCTTCACAGCTGAGCATGTAATAGATGCAATCACAGATCAGTTTCTATGTGGTGGTTTGCACGCCTTTATGTTCTGCTTGTATCCTGCACTTGGATTAAGGTGCTTCAGCCTTAAATGAAGGTTATCAGAAGTGTCTTTCTTCAGGCTCCTAGAGTAGTTTGGGCTGGAAAGGACCTTAAAGATCACTCATTTCCAACCCCCCTGCCATTGGCAGGGACACCTCCCACTACACCAGTGTGCTGAAAGCCCCATCCAGCCTGGCCTTGAGCACCTGCAGGGATGGGGCATCCACAGCTTCTCTGGGCAGCCTGTTCCGGTGCCTCACCACTCTCAAATCTCTACCTTTACTTAGGTGCTCACAGAAAATACCGTCTCCGTAAATTGTGAATTTGGAGGGGTGTGTTCTTTCTGTACACCAGCAGATTTTCAGTGTAATACAGAAATCTGTGGTGGTAGAGGAGGTTTTATCTCCGAAGGTTTTACTTTGAGAACAAGAACGGAAGGGCCCTTGGTTGTACCTTGGAAACTCAGCTGCATGGAAGCTAGAAATCTTAAAACTGTATTTGTCACATTAGTTAGACCTTACCATTCTTAACTTACGTTCAGTTTGGGGTCCTCTGTTTATAAATGGTCCTCTAAATAAGAATCTCTAGTAAAAGATCTGCACAAATTTGAAGATAAAGCAAGCCACTCTAAATTATTTAGCTGTTAAATAGTAATGCTTCTTCCCACTGTTTTATGTTCACAGAGGGTTTTGTAATTGCTAACGATGTTGACAACAAGCGGTGCTATTTGCTGGTTCATCAGGCTAAAAGATTAAACAGTCCATGCATCATGGTGGTAAATCACGATGCCTCCAGTATTCCTAATCTACAAATAGACGTTGATGGAAAAAAAGAGATCCTCTTCTACGACAGGATTTTATGTGACGTCCCCTGCAGGTATCTTGCATGTATACCAGTACTTGTATTTTTGTGGTACGAAGTGATGTTTTCTGTGTTGCTTACTGTGTAACTTTTGGTTACATCCAAAAAAGGTGAATCTCTTAAACTGTCGTAGGTAAGGGGATACCAAATCAAGGTGGCCTTTTATTATTCCAAGTGGTACTTAAATTTGATTAGCTGAAGGGTTACAAATTTTCATTTTATGCTCAGAATATTAAAATACAAATATAGCATAGACATAAACAGTACAGCATAACATGGGAGAAGGACTGTTAATTTTTTGCAGTTGTAAATGACTTGGATATGGAATTAATTTTACCCACAAATAATACAAATGTGTTCGACTTCTGTTACAGTGGAGATGGAACCATGAGGAAAAACATTGATGTATGGAAGAAGTGGACAACACAAAACAGTTTGCAGCTCCATGGGTAACAAATGCTTGTTATACATCCGTCCTTTCGTTTCTCCTTCTCCTTTTCCTACCTTTTTAGCACTCGCATGCATTTGTGTATTAATATCTGACAAAGCAGTGTTCCATTTTCTCTCAAATCAAGAGCTAATATGTTATTCCCAGAAAGGGTTAATATTTTAGATCATTTGGATAGGATTCCTAATGTTTATGCAGGTGAAATACTGATGGAAAATAACTGATACAATCACAGAAACTTGTAAAACTTAATAGTGGTGTTTTAGTGTATTCCAGAATATTGGAGCCCATACATAAATGGTTTCAGCTACCTGACACTGAAGTTAATTTATGGTAAATGAGTATTTAGCCTCATACAAGGTACTATGTAAAAAAGCCATAATTTAAGCATAGATGAAAAACTTAGAACATTTTATTTGCATTTGTTGCAAGCTGGGAATGCGCTCAGTTAGTGTGACTCAGCTGACCTGTGATGACATGTTGTTACTGCTTGGCAACTCATTTGTAATTGTAGGGTTTATTTCAGTTGTAAGTATGCAGCTATAGTATAAGCTGGTCATCCAGCTCAGAGATACTCTTCACTGAAGTCCAGCATTAGCTAAGCGTTTTTGTCTGTGATAACAGTCATATTACACTTCATTTCAATTCTAGATTTCTGAGAAAAGTAGGGCTTAGGGGGTTATTTTTCTAGCTTTGCATGCTTCATTATAAACTTGACAGGGTGCTAGATAGAATAAAAT